CTAGAGTACAATTTAAGAAAATCTCATGAAAATGAGCCTTAATTACTCGCAAATTGAGGCTCAAAGGTGGGGTTTTAAAACACAAGAAAATTCTGATTTTTATCTTTGAAATCAAGTGTAAAATGGTCTATCAATATTAAAGAAAAATGGAGAGTTCGAAACCCTCAATTTTCTTTAAGTTCGAAAATTTCAGATTTGTCGAGCGATCTTTGAAAAATCGTATCTCACTCTTTGTAAGTCCAAAATTGGAAAACTTGGTACCGTTGGAAAGTACTTACAAAGTACTAAAAGTTTCTACAAGACACTTTTCCATGATTCCAAATGAAAGACATTCAAATTTTGGGTTCAAAATGCTGTTTTGAATACTAAGGCAGTTTTTGGGGTTGGTTTTTGGCCAACTTTGGAAATTCGGCAAAATTCACACAATGCGAACTAACCTTTGAAATTTGGAAATCAATTAGAGTTATAATCAAAGTTTAAAACAAAACAAGCAAAACAAAAATTGAGGTTTTGAGCATCAAGATATGGTGGTTCAAAGTTACCCAAAAGTTGGGACTGTTAGACCATTTTCTAGGATTAAAACATAGACTTTGAATCTTTGGTTGAGCATCGAAATGGACTCGGAATGGCACCAAATTTGGTATGATTACACTACCATATAAGAGCTATTCCTCTATCAAATTTCATACAAAAATTCGTTCGGAAATTTGGTTAACAAAACCATTAAAATTCCACAATTTGCTAAGGCAAATCTGCCCTGCACTTGCGTTTTCCTTTTTTCAAACATTTGGCCAATGAAAATTCCTCGAACATGATTTATTTATGAAAACAAGGTCTAATAAATATCCAAGATACATTTGGTAGATGATTAACACCAAAGATTTCAAATAACAAGTCCCAAATCAAGATTAGCTATAAATCAGTCCAGAATTAGGGTTTTCTTTTACGAAGACAGATCTGAAATCAACCCACAACTCACTCAATTCAACTCAGATTGGCGTTGAAAATTACATTCATAAGGCTACAATTTCTCAGAAGGAATCATTTAAAAATTCTGTCCACAACTAACTCATATTTGAGCATCAAGTCGCAGCTCAAACAGGGCTTCCAGTACAGACGAGAAACAGAACAGGCAAATTTACAAGGTTGGTACGGCTCACTCAGGTGGAATCAGGGCATGCATTTTACACTGTTGGAAAACTGGAAGTGTCTAATTTCTAATACCACAAACAGAACTTGATTTCGACATTGAAACAAAGAGTTATGGGAAACAAAATCACTGCCAGAGAGGCTCTGGTTACGTTTCTAGTTTTTCTACATATTTGAAATCTCAACATTTACCTATCCAAATCACGTAATTTTTTGTGAAACTTTCCACACAACCTACACAACATATCTAAATCATAAACAAGTCAATTGGACCACAAAAAAATGCACCAAAGTGCACGGCAATAGAAGGGGCAGAAACGGTAAAATTCCCTTTTCACTTCCTTTGAGTTTTCTTCCACAATACAATTTATTTTCACTAGATTAAGCACTAATCCAACATAAATAACATCAAATCTCATCAAATCAGTTCATCAAACCATTGTGGGATTTCATAGAGTCCACTCACAAGATTTCCAACAATATAAAGCTACCAACATGAATTTATGAGCTTACAAGTGCAAGATAACTTCCATAAATCAAGTTTTAAGAGGTTGATCGTTGCTTATCTTTGTAGAAGACTAAGGCAGAAAATTTAATTCCTTGGAAGCTAAAGAATACCATGAGAAGTAAGCCCTTTTCCTAACTTAGGTTGATCTCCAAGTAGTTTGCAAAATATGTGTAAATTTTGAAGTGATTTGGGTGAGATTTGAGTGATGAAATGAAGAAGAAATGTTAGTTCTTTCTTCCTCCTTGTGGCTGGCTGCTATGAGTGAAGAGAGAGGGGTGTGTTTGCTAAAAATGAAGCTTTCTTGGGAAACTTAAATGTGTGGTTCAAAATGTCTCAAAAGTCAACTCTCCCTCCATGTGCGCACGCACGTGTTTCATGCTCGTTCCTGTCGAGTTTGTTTCACTAGTGCACTAAACTTCTAATGCACTTCCATTCGTACTATTATTATTCACTCTTAATAGGCTAAAATGAATTTCTCAAATCTCCAATTAACCGCTTCGGTTCAATATACGTGAACTTTCTATTTGCACACGTTACGGCGAAACTTCCAAGAAATTCTCATAACGATAGTATAAATAACTAACACTTGAGTACTTAAACGTAAAAAAACCTATTTCAAGACTAATGTGCAAGTCTCTAATTTTCCAAGCTTATTGTGTTCTCGAATCGATTATTGTCTCCAAACGCGCATCTACTATTCACTCTAAACGAGCTTTCAAAAATAAATTTTCGAATCAAGGCATTTTTAAAATACTTATAGGTCATAGTCCCATGTAATTGAGTATAAAGAGGCCGAAATAAAATATTCAAAATAAACGACCAAATAAATATTTAAATGAACTCGTAATAGGAATTTAAAGTAAGAAAATTTGCGAGTCCTGACATCCATTCTCACATGGCCACTTTTTTCATTTAAAGCAAAATTTGCTCTTCTTTCCTGCTTGACTTCTATCCTTGTATTCTCACTTTTTTCTTGGATTTACTTATTATTTTGTAATTGAAATAACACATTTTTCTCATGCATGTCCTACATGTGTTTTAAAATCGATTTTGATTCTACATGTGAACATGTCACAGTGCGTGTGTGAGAGGAAATAATTAATCCAAAATTTCACAAAAAAACAATCTCTACCCCACCAACCACCTCAAAAGAAAACAAAGAACATTTATCACAGCAAATACTTAGATAAGCTTGGATAAATATCATTGAATTTGTGAAAGTTCATCTGTGCATCTATGATCATCATAGATTTGTGTGTGTGAGAATTTAAGTGGTGGATTTGTTGGTTGTAGTATCATAGTAGCTACACGAGATATTTGCTCACGTGATGTTGTGCGTTTTTCTAAAGGAAAATTAAAAACGTTGTGTTACTTTTTAACCTAATGAATACCACTAGAAAGTAAATACTAAGAAATTCAAATGTTAAGAAAAATTTTACCCATAAATATTCAAGTGAAAAGAAAGAAAGGTAGACGAATCTATGAAGAATATGCCTAACGTGATATTTGTGCACTTTTAAAGTTCAACAATTCTACTTAGAAATCCCTCATTAGATATTTCACCCCAAAAATGTTTTATCAATAAACAAAATTATTTAGATGTCCATGTTCGTGTAGTAGTATTACTCGAATTTCTATACACAAACCATTTTTACGAGTTCTAAGCTTGTAATCAGTGTTTGCAAGAACATTATTTCAATTTAATTAACTAGTAAAGAAAATAATTATTATGAAAATACAACAAAAATATATTATATCCACTTATAAAAGTGGTCCATTTGATACAATTTAGTTTTGGCTTTTTACTTTAAACATTATATTAATATAGAATCATGATAGTGAATTGTTGATTTTCTACCATATGTGCATAAAAGGAAATAAAAAAACAAATAATTCATGACAAAATGTTCTTTAACAAATTTATCGCTATTGAGGTCAAGCAAGATTTTTTTTTTCAACAATTTGAATTCTATTACATAATCTTTACGCTGAGTCTGTTTTTATGTATAACTTCCCAAATAGGGAAGCCTTTGTATACACTTTAACGAAAAAAAAGAAATATGACCATACATGCAAATTTACAAATCTCTAAAAATCATCATCAAAACCAAAATAGCAAACTAAATTAGGAAGTACAAATTGGTGTTTGAATAAAAAAAACGATGAAAACTATATATCATGGTGAAATTCAACCAAATGGAGTGGTTGGTAGGCTAGTGGATTCTTTTTACACAAGTAGTTTTTACGAGTTGTAAGAAAATGATCTTTGAGATATATTATGTGTTAAGAGAATATAAGTATTCTTGTAGATAATAAATTAGTAAGGGTATTCTTGTAAATAGTTTGTTAGGTTTGTACTCCTATAAATACTAGTTGGTCACTCATAATACGGTGAATAGATGTTTTTCTCCCAAAATACATATTCTCATGGTATCAGAACTAAAATCCTAGGGTTAGGGTTAAATATCTAGCAAAAGTCTTGTTCACGCGATACTATTCATCATGCACTGTTCACGCAATACTGTTCATCGCGTATTGTTCACACAGTACTGTTCATCACGAGTTTTGACTGTTTTTTAATTTGAACTGCTATTCGCTATGGTTAAAAGTTTATTAAAAAGTATCGTGACGTCTACTAATATTATGCCAATGGTGATGTCTCAAATTACAAATTGGAAGTTAAATGATACTAATTATCAACCGTGGTCAAAAGCCGTTAAAATTTGACTGACAAGTCTAGGAAAGCAACGATGTCTCACAGATGACTCTCCTATGGAGGACAACAAGAGACTAATGTGGATTCAAGAGGATGCCAAAATTCTTGGAGCAATATGGAATTCTATGGAGCCACGAATTACTTACATGTGTACTCATTGTGAGACAACAAAAGAAGTTTGGGATTATGTCCGGTTATTATACTGCAGTAATCTTTCACAGATGTATGATATTTCTTTGGAGTATTTTCAGTTGCAATAAGATAACAAAACAGTAATTGAATATTTTGCTGATATCAAGTGAATTTCAGAAGAATTAAATGTTGTAATGCCTCTCTCAAGTGATATTACAGTTATACAGAGGCAAATAGAACAAATGCTTGTGCTCAAATTCTTGGCTGGCTTTAAGCCAGAATTTGAACCAATCAAATCTCAAATTTTAGCTGGTAAACAATTACCATCCTTTACAGAGGCGTATGTTCGGGTCTTACGTTCTACATCTAAGGACAATGCACAGGGTGATTTTTTTTTTTTAAAGAAATAGGATTTTATTCATCAAGAAAGTAAACCAATCACAAGTTCTGCTTACAAACGCTTACTTCTCCGAAATGAAGGCACCCCTAACCTAACTAATCTGACTCCCCACGAGCCAATGCCGGAAGAGCGTGGAAATTTTCGTAGACCTTAATATGCTGTTCAGGATGAGAGGTGGCTATTTTGGACAAAACATGCGCCACGATGTTAGGCTCCCGGTAACAATGCGAGATTTGAGCCGAATCATCCACTAGCTGCCAAATTTGCCTGGCCTCTCGACGGATCCGCCATGGACACTGGAACCGCCGCTTCAGAATCCCAACTACGACCAACGAATCCGATTGGAGATTTAGATTACCATAGCCCCTGTGGATACACAATTGAAACCCAGTTAGCAGGCCCGAACCTCCGCCTGTAGGGAAGTGATCTCCCCAAAGAAGGCCGAAAAGGCAAACAGAGGCAACCCCGTTGCATCTTGGAGGACCCCACCGCCTCCACCCACTCCAGGATTCCCCTTAGCGCAACCATCAACATTAAGGGTAAGCATCCCACTCCCCCTCACCTCCCAGCGAACACGTTGGACTATATAGAGGGGCAATTGCACCCAGTCATACAACTGCCCAAATGTTTTCGCCCCAGTCTTAAGCTTGAATTGGATCTCTACAATGATTTTGATCTCCGAGAATATGGCCTGACAAATCTTCGTGGAGGCCATCGGGACCCCCTCAAATACCGCTTTATTCCTGGCTTTCCAAATGTTCCAGCAGATGAGACTAGGAAGGATTAAACAAATGAACTGCCGTGTTGCAGACTGCTGCGACCGCAACCACCATTCAACTATGCGAGCACGCAGGGAGGATCCAGAGCTCCTCACACCACACCAGCCACCAAAATAGTTCCAGATGTCCATAGCTATGTGACCCCCGGCAAAAACATGCTCAAGAGATTCCTCAACTGCCCCTGGGCAGCAAGGGCATTTCGATGGCAAGTGAAAACCTAGGCGGCGTAGCATATCTGGCCGTGGCACCCTTCCCATCAGCAAGCGGAGCATAAAGAAAGACACTTTCAATGGGAGTCGAGGGTGCCAAACTCGAGAGAGGACCACAGACGTATTACGGGACTGCTTGACGTCATGGAAAGCTGACGCCAAGGTGAATTTTCCAGACTGTGTGGGCATCCAAATTACTTCATCTGCACATCCTCCCGCTGGAACCGGGTGGTGTAGGATAGAAGTCACAATGTCACTAGGCAAAAGGTGAGATAAAAAACTCACATCCCAAGCCCCATTTTTGATACTACTAAGAAACGAGAGATGCGGGATGACTGGTGCGCGAAGGTACAAGGCACCACTACCCAACCAATTGTTGTACCAAAAATGGCAAAACCCATCATTTACTAGCCATAACATAGAGAGCTCGACCTGTCGGCTTACGTTCACCATCCGTCTCCAGACCGGCGACGCAGTCAGCGTTAATTGTGCTTGGCAGGGGTGAAGTCCTCTACAACATTTTGCGCGCAGGAATGCCGCCCATACCGACCTCCCTGTTCGGAAGGTCGACCATAATTTACAAGAGAAGGCTGTATAGACGTCTTCAAGCCTTCGAAACCCCAGCCCGCCCTCCTCCACCGGGAAACACAACTGAAACCACCGAATCCAATGAAACTTTGTTTCGTCAGGAGATGAACCCCATAGAAAGTTTGAGCAAGCCTTCTCTAGAATGCCGAACACCGAGCAAGGGAGCACAGCAGCCGATAGTAAATGGACTGGGATTGCGGACAGCACATGTCTGATTAGAACGATCTTACCTCCTGCAGATAATAGCTTTGATTTCCACGACAAAATCCTCTGCAAGATTGCCTGACACACCTCTCCAAAGTATGACGACTTACACCTCCCAAAATATAACGAAAATCCCGAATAGCGTATGGGAAAAGCCTGCCAGACAAACCCCCTGACGCGCTCAATCACTCTTCTTCTGGCCGGCGCCAAAGCAGGATGAACCAAGTACCCACTTTTCTGAGCATTTATCAGCTGACCCGAACATTCTTGATAGCCTTCCAGCACCTGCATGATGTCCTTTAAGGAGGAAACGGACCCATTCGCAAATATAAGAACATCATCCGCAAATGCCAAATGCGTTATCGGGGGGCACCCGTACGGAACTCTGAACCCCAAGAAATCCGGCTGCAACGCAAGGTTGTTTAAGCCCCTCGACAGAACCTCAGCCCCTATAATAAACAAAGCCGGCGACAACGGGTCCCCCTGGCGGAGCCCTCTCGTAGATTTGAAGAAACCATATGAAGAGCCATTGATTATTACCGAAAACCAAACATTCGACAATAGCCGCCACACCAGATCTATAAACTGCTCCCCAAACCCAAACCTTCGTAAGACTCCAATGATATGCAACCATGACACCCTGTCATAAGCTTTAGACATGTCCAGCTTCAACATTACGTTTCCACCCCTAACTTTTTTCCCAATTCCCGAAACCACTTCCTGAGCAAGCAAATAATTCTCTGTTATATTGCGGCCCTTAACAAAACCTGTCTGTTGAGGGGAGATAAGCTTTGGCAAGATGCCCGCCAATCGATCAGTCAAAATTCGAGATAATAACTTGTTGAAAAAATTGCATAGGCTAATCGGTCTAAATTTAGAGAAATCCTGAGGACTCGATACCTTAGGAATCAACACAAGCGAGGTAGAAGTGATGAAACGAGGCAGTTCTGCCCCACAAAAGAAACTTAGTACCGCTGCATAGACGTCCTGAGCAATAACCTCCCACGCAAAGGTAAAGAATTTGCCGGTGAAGCCATCTGGTCCGGCAGCACTATCCCCATCCATTGCCTTCACCACCCGATGAACCTCCTCAATAGTAGGTGCCTCCTCTAAGATCCTGTTGTCCTCACCTGAGACCACCGGTGGAATAAGGTGTAACATATCCGAGGCGGGTCTTGACGTGCCCGAGAATAGGTCAGAAAAATATGCTATTGCCTCACTCGCTATATCCTCATCCGACTCCACCCACACCCCACTGGCTGCCTTTATCCTATGAATCGTACCTTGAGCCCGTCGCTGCCTCACCACTGCATGGAAGAATCTAGTATTACGATCTCCACTGCGAAACCATTTCACTCGAGCCTTTTGACTCCAAAACTGCTCTTCAACGGACAGCGCATGACGTAACTCCGCTTGCGCCTTGTGGAGTTCGAGCTGTGCCTCCTCCGACCCATCGTGATCCATGGCCTCCTCTGCCCGTTGAACCGCCGCCTCCGCACCCCGAACAGCATCAAACACATTGCCAAAACAATGCTTGTTCCAGTGCTGAATAGCTCTCCTGGCTGCCAACAATTTAGAGCACAATACCCGCAGTGGAGAGCCACTCACTTCTTGATCCCAAGCACTACGAATCACCTCCAAAAGTTGTGGTTTGGACGTCCAAACATTCAGGAAGCGGAAAGGCCGTGGTTTATAATCCAAGCGTGAGGTAAACAAAATCTTCAGTGGTGCATGGTCTGAAGGGTGCCTCGCCAAATGCACTATAGAAATCGAGGTGGACAAGTTCAAACAATCCCTATTAATTAAAAACCTATCCAGCCGCTTCGAGACTCTAGCCCTGCCTCTCCTATTATTACACCATGTAAAGCTAGCTCCCGAAAAACCCACATCAAAAACTCCAGCCTCTTCCATGAAAGACAGAAGCTCTACCCCTTCAGCTACACCAAATGGCCGCCCCCCTCGTTGCTCATGGGGTGCCAGAATGGTATTAAAATCTCCCCCAATGCACCAGGGAGACGAGCTAGGTTTATCAGCTAAAAGGTTTAGCCATAAGTCCCTACGCTCATCCCAAGAGCATTTTGCATGAACGAAGGACATTGTGACCGAACTAGGCAAAAACGGATGTTGAACAGCCAAAGAGATATGTTGATCAGAATTTCCCACAACCGAACACACAAAGGAACTACTATAGAAAATCCAAAGATCCTCCGATCGATTTACAAGCACACAATCAAAAGACAATTTTAGACGAATGGACACAATTTTAGACACATCTAGCTTAGGTTCACAGATCACCACAAACCTAGTCTGATGCAATCTTACTAACTTAATCAATCTACGTAAGTTAGGGGTTTTAGCCACCCCTCTAATATTCCAAAAAATGCCGTTAATCATGAGACAGAACCTGAAAAGAGTTTTGGGAGGATGTCGCCGACCGTAGCTGTCTGTCAGAGGGAAGTCGGGCCCGCACACCTTTCCCTCGCGCTTGTCTAAATCCATGCTCCACCGCCACAGATTGATCAACGTTCAATTGCACCACCAACGACTCCAGCGGTAGCTCCTGACTCCCTACTAACCTTGGTGACAAATTTCCCGCAGTGGTAGGCAGCTCAATCTCACCGCAATTCTGTTCCCCATGCGCCAAAGCTTCCTCCACATTCAATGTGGCACCCATGCTCTCCAAATCCCTGTCGTGGAGAAGACACTTCTGCCCCTCAGCTTGGGGCTGATGCCTAGCCCCCAAAGATAGTGCCGAGAGGACTTGCTGCTCCTCCTGACGTGGCCCATCTGTTGTTGTAGCAACCCCTTCTTCCCGCCCTTCCAAAACTCCCTCCACCCCCTCACAATCTGCCACACGACCAATGCCTTCGCAGGTCACACCGACGCAATGCCCCTCCACCCCAGCCACTACAATGTCCATTGCGCAACTCCTAGACGCACTGCCCTGCTGAGGTGCGGCTTCTGCAACAGCTCGCACACCAGGCCCAAGAGCCTGGTTCCCCTCTGCTGCAGCTGGTGCTCCCACAGCCGCCTGCATGGCTTCAGTGTCCTTAGCCAGGATAGTCCTTCGCACCTGGCCAACCACCTGCTGGCCCTGCCTTCTCGCGATTCGATTTTGCTGGTGCCGAGCTGCAAACTCAGAAGAATTCCTCTTGCACTCTTCATTGGAGTGACCCACTCGCCAGCAGGAAGAGCAATACGCCGGCAAATCCGCGACAATGCTTGTGAATTAATGACAAGTTTGCTTTAGTTACTAATAACAATCAGATAGAGCAACTTAGCTTTGGATATGAGCAACTTAGTTTTGGACATGGCTCTCATGGAGGAAGAAGTAGAGGAAGTCGTGGGGGTCATGGAGGTCGAGGCACCCGTGAGTGCACTCATTGTAGTTTGAAAAATCATAATCGTGATACTTGTTGGGATTTAGTTGGAAAACCTCCTTGATTTGCTAATGTGGTTACTACTGACCAAACTGAATCAAATTCTTCAGCACAAGGGTCCCAGAAGACTTTTACCATATCCTAATAAGATTATGTTAAATTTCTGTAGTACCAAATTACAAATCACGCATCTCTTCTCTTTGCTTCTTTAACACAATAAAATAATGCTATGGTTTGTCTCTCCACATCTTCTAATTTTGACTCATGGATTATTGATTCTCAGGCTACCGATCATATGTCAGGTACCTCTAGAAAATTTTCTAATTTTCAAGAGTCTATCTCCTTTTCTCATGTTATTTTAGTTGATGGATCTACAATTAAAGTTAAAGGATTAGGCACTGTAGAAATTAACCCATCTCTTTCGCTGTCTTCTGTTTTTTACGTACCTACTTTGCCTTTTAATCTAATGTCCGTTAGTAAGGTTACTAAATTTCTACAGTGTTCAGTTACTTTTTCTCTTGATTTTTTTTTCATTCAGGATTTGAAAACAAAGAGAACAATTGGTGGAGGGCATGAGTATAATGGTCTTTATTTTATCGACTCCAACGATCCGATTGCGTGTCCTGCTATTGTTTTTCCTCTTGAAATTCACTGTCGTTTGGATAATCTGTCTCTACAAAATTTGAAAAAGTTGGTTCCTACCTTGAGTCAGTTGTTTTCAATAGAATGTGAGTCTTGTCAATTAGGAAAGTATCATTGTATTTCTTTTACCCCTAGAGTCAATAAACGGGTTTCTGAACCCTTTTTGCTAGTTTATTCTATTGTTTAGGGTCCTAGTCGAGTCACTTGAAAGTTAGATTTTAAATAGTTACAGAAATAAAGAATTATTTTGGTGTGCCTATACGTATACTTCACAGCAATAATGCAAAAAAATATTTTTTCACTCCTTTTGATACATTTATGACTAAGTCCGGTATTCTTCATCAGTTTTCTTGTTTCCACACTCCACAACAGAATGGAGTTGCTGAAAGAAAAATTCGACATTTAATTGAAATTGCTCGAACACTTTTGTTACATATGAATATGCTCAAACAATTTTGGAGTGATGCAGTTTTAACTGCATGTTATTTAATTAATTGCATGCCATCCAATATTTTTAGAGGCCAATTATCTCACTCCATTCTTTTTTCTCATGAACTTATATTTAATTTACCTCCTCATATTTTTTGGTGTGTGTGTTTTGTTCATCAGCTTGCTTTCGAGATGGATAAATTAGATTCTCGTACTATTAAGTATATTTTCTTAGGATACGCACGAGCGCAAAAAGGGTATAGACGTAACAGTCAAGTTTTAAATCGTTTTTTACTTGTGTTGATGCTATTTTTTTTGAATCCATTCCTTATTTTATGAATCAAGGTATATCTTGTGAGTTTGACCAGTGTTCCTCTTTTTCTTCTCCTGTTTTACCAGCCCTTTCATCTTATTATCTGAGTTGTCTAGTCCACTAGATTCCACAACTCGATTATCTCGTCCTAATCTTTAAGTTTATTCTTGTCGTTCCATAGTTGAGTAGGCTCCTGATATGCCACGAGTTTCACAATCGTTCATTTCAATGATGTCATAGATCAATGATGTCATAAATCAATGATGGAGTATCCATAATTCAAGAAACATTTACAATGGAAAGCGATAGTAACATTCATGAAAGGATACGTTCGTTCTCCTGTCATTTCATTGCATTCTTTTCGTTTCATTCGTGCATTCATTCACACCGTCCCTGGCTTTTGGCCAGGCTCCACCAACCTACAAGGTAATACTCGAGTATACCGAAACGTTCACCCAAGTTCCTAGTCGCCCGACCGAGTCCTCTTCTGGCTCGAGACGACCGGTAACAAGGGCAATGGCCAGTTCAGCCCAAAAGGCTTACATTCATGCGCAAGTAGCATTTAATCATTAATCATTGAAACTTTCATCTTTATGTAGGTCGAGTGCGATAAAGTACACACTCGCCTAGAAAACTCATTTTAACAATCATTGAAAGCAAAATCACTAATAACAAGACACTAAGATGCAAGCACACATGATATGTAAGAAAACAGTTCCAAAAGTAACTTTGAAAACAGTTCAAAAGTAGATAAAAGTAGATAATGCAGGAAAGCGGTTCAACAGTAAATTTGGAAACAGTTTGAGGTCACTCACCTCCATGGCTCAGAAATCATCCATCAAATATCATTGCCTTGCTCAAATCCAAGTCTTAAATCACAAACTCAATGCAAACAAGTTCCTTCAAAGTTCGGACAGCACTTCCCCTGACTTTCCTTACTTTTCCAGCCATCATGGCTTCATTATATCCTCTGCCAGTCCCAAAGGTACACACACAACAACAAAAATTTCATCCCATAGCTATTCAGCAAGCTCCAAGTAGTACTAGTACAAGTCAAGCTAGGGAAAAGTCCGAAAATGAAGGTTTAGCTCAAAACCAGAAAAATAGTTTTGGACATCACTTTGCGGTAATGGCACAACTTGCACTACGATTATCGGATTAGGTGTAAGACCCACCATTTCGAAGCTAAGAACCAGGGCTATAACAATGTAGAAGGTCACTCAGTCCAAATCCCAGCACAACTAAGTCAAAAATGCAGAATACCAAACCAGAACCGTAATTGCAGGTTTACAAATCACACTATGCTGTAATTAGTACAACTCAGTCTATACAGGTCCAAATTCATTGATTCCAAAGGAATATGATAGATAAGACATCAAGATACATTTCATCAGAAGACACCAACATCCAAATCCAAAGAAATTCCAGTCAAAACAGACGATTACAATCGCAGTTCGCACATTCTGATCACCCAGAACAGCAATAGTAAAAACGGCATAACTCACTCTACACTACTCCAAATGCCCTGAAACTTTTGCAGGAACTTCAAACTCATCAATACCTACAACTTTCATGTTTTGAGAAAAGGCCAATTCGGCCTCCATCTAGGACCTAAAATTTCGGACAGAATGTTCATCACAAAACCCTTACTTTTCAATTTTTGGTCCAAACAGAAATTGGTTGCAATTATCACTAATTCACACCTACTAGAGTCATTCCCCTCATTATCAACCATCATAGATGACCACAACATCACATTCATATTAAACCAAAAATTCCTCAAAAAATAAAAACTTCACCAAATCATCCATAAGCAAGCAATAAACCACAATTTCCAACTCTATAGCCACCATTAGGCATAAATTCAACATCATTAGGTGTAAGAGGATAGTCAATCACTACTTACCAAGTAAACAAGAAAGAGGAAGTTGTAGACCACCTTAGCTTCTCCAAAAAACTTCACCAAAACACTCACTAGCACCTAATGGAAGAATTTTATGGAGTAGAAACAAGTTTAGGCAATTGGTTTGGAAGATTGAGCTAAATGGAAGCTTGAAATTTGAAGCAATTCTCTTCCTTCTTGAGCTCTCAAGAGTCGGCCAACATGGAGTGCAAAAATAATGAATTTTGAGGTAATTTTTAGATATTTAACCACTTAGTCAAAAGGTCAAAAACATGAATAGTAAGTCATAAAATCCACCCAATGGAAAAATGACACTTGGCACACTATTAAATGCATTTCTATCCTTCGGTCACCTCTCACATCAATCACCTCACACTCCTCTACTTATCTCTTAACACCCGATAAATTTTACACAGTATCCGAAACGTAACCTTATTGGCCGAATTTCTTCCGAATTTCCACACTAGCGGGTCCCACGTCCGATATACGCTCTTTATTTCTCAAAAACTAACCGATACTAGAAAATCATTTAAAAACCATTTTTGCTCATAAACTTTATCTGGAAATTTTCTAATCAAGAAAATGTAGAAAAGGCGGGCGATTAAATAAAATAAACCCTAGAAAATTAGAAAATTTCCGGGTTCTCAAACTCTTTTTTTTCGGGGCGTCACAATCTCCCCTCCTTAAAAGAATGTCGTCCACGACATTCCCTCTTGTACCAATCAAGTCAAGACATTGGACGTCATTGACTCAAGAGCCCTTTCCTCGTTTGCCTTTCTTGATCGGACGTCATTGACTCTCCGTCAATTCAAAAGTAACCAACCGTAGACTCCACTTTACTTCCACTCCTTCCACCTAACATCCCCCCTACCGGGTCCGAAATCCAAACACTTGCACTTTGGTATTACTCGAGTAAACCGGAATCGAGAGTCTCGCATACTACAAGATTACATATAACACTTCCCCAAGCATATCAATTGGCACGACCAAGCCCTCGCCAGCTCGATTCAATCAACTACCAATGGGGTTGAGCTCATTGATAACAATTGTAGTCGTTGGATACTCGTCCAAACGACACCAAGTCATGTATTTTCATTTCAATTAACACTTCGTGTAACATTCCAATCACATGATAACAAGGATATAAGGCACATAGTGAGAGTGATAAAGTACACTTTCACTTCAAGAAATTAACATTCAAAGCACCAAGTTCAAGTATCAAAGCCATATATTAACACACAAGTGAGTAGTACACTCACCAAGCTCGCAAATGTGGTTTCATGCACTTCCGTCAAAAGAACGTTGCACCAACGTCACGCCCTAAAACATGCAAACAAGTACAATGAGACTCGATAACGAGTCATAAACCAAGGCCAAACATGACCCCAATAGGGTTCCATAAGCATATACAACCATTAGAGGAAACCAGAAAATTCGGAAATGCAATTAGCTTTGGCCCTGAAAAAAACAGTTTTTGACCTCGTTTTGCGGTAATGGCACCAATTTCACTACGATTATCGGATGAAGGTGTACGATACACCGATTCGAAGTTAAAAGACAGGGTTACAACATCACAGAAGGTCACTCAACCCAGTTTTGAGTGTAACCATGTCAAAAATGCAAGATACTACACCAAAACCGTAAAACAGATTCACAGAACGCATTCTAGCGGAAACATCATAACTCAGGTTCTCCAAGTCCAAATCCAGAAATTCCAAAACCAGATGAAAGATAAGAAATAGGGCTACATTTAATCAGAAGGCCTAAACAACCAATTCGGAAGCAATTCCAGCCAAAACAACCAATTACAGGCGCAATTCTTACATTCGGGTAAAACCAGAACAGCAAAAG